AATAAAAAGATCTTGGGACAGAACTCAGTGATCAAGTGCTTACCTAATACTCGTGAGGCCCTGGGTTTAATTGCCAGGACATAGTGGGGAAAAAAAACACAGCAAACCAATTTGGGTTTAAGAAAGAATAAAGAATTTTAAAATCCATCAATTGGAATTCATGATTGAAGGAAGAAAAAAAGCATATACACACACAAGAAAATCTCAGTAGATACAGAAAAATGTGACAAAATGGCAAACATTTCTAGCTACAAAAATGCAAAACAAGTACTGTTCTTAATAGTGGAACATCTCCTTTAAAACTCAGAATGTGTGAGCCAGGCATGGTTGCATACACCTGTAATGCCAGCACTTGGAGGCTGAAGCAGGAGGACTGCCAGGAGCTGGATGCCACCATGGGCTACATAGTGAGTTCATGGCCCTGTCTCAAAAAACCAGAAGGATCTTATATCAAAAAAAAAAAAACAAAAAAAAATTAAAAACAAAACTGGGAATGCAACCTGCATGCCCACTACACTGCGTGACTTTCTAACAAGCAACCATAATCACTTCTGCTGAACATAATCTAAAAGGGTGTCAGGACACTAAGATAAAGAGCAGGAGAGGGTAACTGAAAAGGAAGAATTCAGACATCACCATTTGAAAATGATGCTGTTGTCCCCTTAGGAAAAGCAAAAGGAATTCCAGAAAATAAACTGACAAAAAGAACTTACAATAGGCAGCTAAAGGTAAGTAGAAAATTTTTCCTTAGATTTCTAATTACTAATAATTGCCAGAAAACAATTTATACTGCCATTTATTACAGCAACAATTAATCATGAGAAAGGAGGATCCCTGTGAGCTCAAGGTCAGCCCGAACTGCATAGCGAGAGCCTGTCTCAAACAAAACAAAGCAAAGCAAAACAAAATCAATGGAGAAAATTGTAACACCATACTAAAAGATATTAAAAACCTAAATAAGTGGAAATACATACCATATTCTCAGACAGGAGGGCTCAAAATCTTTATAGATTTCAATTCTCCCCAAAATCGATTCAGTCAATTCCAATTAAGTCCCAGAAGGTTTTTCAGGTCATGTAACAAAGCTGATTCTTAAAGAGCAAAGGTCCAAGAAGAGCTAGACTCAAGTTCTCCCCAGAGATCAAGATTTCTGGTAAAACTAGGGCATTAATAATTAAGACAGTATGGGCAGCAACACAGAAATAGAGAAGATGGCAAGTGATACAGAAAGGTGAGCCAAAATGGACCCATGCACACAGGAACTCAATACGATAAAGACAATGTTGGCGATACGGGTATTCACATTGGAGGACCCAGCCAATACTGAGGACAGGGGTAACTGGAGCCACAGGGGGTTAAAATGAAGGTGAGCACTACTCACAATACCCAAAACCGACTATGGATGGGATATGAATTTCTGAATTATGAATTATGAGAAACATTTTAAAACTTCTAAAAAGGAACACAGGAGAACATAAGCCCAGAACAAGAAAGGTTTCAGTTAGGTTACATTAAAATTAAGACTTTCCATTCACCAAGATACAACATCAAAAGTGAAAAGACAGGCATATAAAAGGTCAGTGCACCAGCGTATCAATTTTACAACTCAACAGAAATAAACACATGAAAGAACACAGCCAGGTATTTCATATTATGGAAGTACAGGTGGTTCATAAATACGTGAAAAGATGTTCAAGATCATTAATAATCAAATAAATCCAAATTAAAACCAAACTGATGCATCTTTTCATAACTGCCACTGGCAAATATCAAAAAATATCACATAACAGAGGTTAAACAGGTTACAGGTAAACTACAATTGTTATACTTTGCCCATCTAAAAATAGTTGGCCAAAGTATAAGCTAGTAAAGTAAAATCTCTCGAGAAAACATGGAATCATTCCATGATGTTGTATATTCAGACCCCGTGACCCAGCAATTCCACTTAAGCTACTGTGGTGCTATGCCAACGCTTGCATTGCTGTTCACAAACCACCAAAATTGCTGTTGAAAATTATATGCCTGTCACGTGTCTAAAATTTTTCAGCATTAAGCTTATTTAGTTGCAAATGATGGTTAATGGTTTATGTCTTTACTCAGTATCAGTGACAGAAATATAACATCAAGTGAAATAAGCAAGTCCCAGAAAACCTTATCCAGAATGATTTTTATGCAGAAAAACAGACACCACACAACACATTGTTGGAAGAGGTACACAAAATCTGATAAAATTATTCTTAAATGCAAATAATAACATACAATTCAGGATAAACATCTTATGTGAGCATATTCAATATTGGTTATTTTAATTCTTGGATTGACTGGTCATTTCATAGGTGTTCATTTTGTTTGCTTCACAGCTTGCACATTTGTTACATATATTTTGAACATATCAAACATTAAAAAAAGACAAGATTTTTTAAAAACATTCATCGTATCAAAAAATGCTTTTAATCACTTGCCACTAGAGACATACAGCTATACACCTCTATCATGGAAATCCTATCTCTATGTCAACCATGGCAACAATTGGTATATACGAATGTTCACCGAAATTAATTTTATGAGGCTCAAATGTGATAAAAACAGCCAAGTAGCTGTGAGAAATGGGCCAATTGGCAGACACAGGGATAGGAAAGAAGCCAAGGTGGCTAACAGCAAACTTAGCAACAAGCTACAGTTGAAAAGAAGCTGGTCAGTAAAGACAAGGCAAAAGTATTAGTCTCATGACACAAAGTGTTAGCAAGAATGTTAGGAAATGGTGTCCTCACTGACAGTGAGGGTAAAAAATTGGTATAACCACTTCCAGAGCATCTGTAACATCTGGTTAAATTGAACATGCACACACTCTGCTATTCAGTAGATCGGCCACTAGGGGTGCTTCTAGAGAAACTTCCAAACCTGTGCACAGCAGGTAAGTACACGTTTACTGTGAGACCCTTCTTAGGGCTCAAAAACTGGAAACAACTTTACAGTCCATCAGTAGAGGAACGCATATGTAAAACTAGGTATAGTCACATGCACAGTGTAATTCTATACCAGCAGTTAAAATCGTGAACCAAACAAAGCACATTTGCTTTATTAATATATAAATTTCAAAATGCAATGCTGAGTGAACAAAGCAAGTTGCAAAAAGACATATATAGTTTAATACCATTAAAGTTCAAAAACTGGCAATACTATATATGTTTATAAGTTCACATCACTAATGTATAAAATATGCAAGGAAATCATTTACCCAAACCTGAACACCGTGGCTGCCTCTGGGAGAGGCAGGAACTGAGACCACCTCCAGAATCTTTTTTCTTTTTTTAAGGATTTGAAGTAAATTTGGCAAAACAATTGTATCTGTAAAACCTAACTCATGGATTGGTTAGATCTCCATCTGTGTTTTATAATCAAAATATTCCAGAAATTAAAAGAGAAGGGAAAAAAAGGAAAAGTAAGGTAAGAATAAGGGAATTCAGCAGAAGACACCAAAACGCACCCACTGAGCACCAAGCAAGCAAGCAAGCATCCTTGAAGGAAAGCAGTAGCGGGTGAATCCCTAAAGCTTTGAAGTTTTTGTCCCCATATATCTTTATAATCCCATTTGTGTTACGATAAAAGAGAAACTTGTAACAAAAATGTCCTAGCTAGGGCTGCTCGCAGGGAAGAAGTGGTAAAAATCTGTAAGATTTTTACCTTGTTTCCCTTGCCAGGATGTTGGGTAGGATCAAGAGGGGTTTACGCGAATGCCCTAAAACACCCAATGAACCACTTAACGCGACTGCCCAGGGACCCCCCACAATGTAGGAAAATGTTTTGCAAATGAACAGCTTCTGGAGTCTGGGACACCTATGGAAAAAGATATGCACTTACCTACACCTCTGCTCAATTTTTAGTCTTTGGTCCCCCTATCCTTAGCGCCCAGATCAGCATAGGTGGACAAGTCACAGTGACGTCGCCAACACTGCAGCAGGCCAGGCCCGCCAGCAGCCCCCCCCCCAATCCCGCGCGCGCAGGCGCGCGCCTCGAATCTTCCGGGGAGGTGGGGGCACTCAACAGGGATGCGAGGGAAAGAGGGAGGGACGCGCGTCAAGCTGGGTCCCCTCCCCGTCTGTCCCTCGCGGAGGGCATCAGCTATGGACTCGCATGTCAGCTCTCCCAGAAATGGGTGACGAGAACGCAAGGAACTCGCGACCACTGTGCCCAGGGTTCTCGTGAACTTCGGGGCAACGCAACCCGCACACGAGCAACCACGCACGGGACACGAGAATCGCGCAGTGTAGAGCACACTCAGGAACACGCACGCGAGAGCGATGCTTCAGGCAAGGGTCGAGGCCACAGGTGGCGCAGCCACGCGCAGCGGGAAATGCGCACCTCATGGAGGAGGGCAGTGACACGAAGGGGGACACCCACGGGGGTTGGTGGCACCCACAGCACCTCAGGGAAGGGGATAGGAGACACAAAGGGAATAAGCGAGGGACACACAGCCGCGTCCCCTTGCGCCCAGAAGCGGACCTGTCGCCTACACGGGTGTCACCCATGCACGGCGCAAGACGGGGTGGCCGGGACAGCTGGGGTGCACGCACATGAAAGGGCCGCTCCCGCAGTCCTCCCACAGTCGCATTATGCGACACCCGGGGACCCATGCTTGCGAAGGGATCACTCGGCAAAGGGAAGATACCCGCCAGGGCAGGCAAAAGCCGCCACACCCCCTCCACGCTGGCCCGCGGACACCGCGGGCACCTCCGCGAGCGGCACGCGCGACGCGCGCACTCACCACACACCCACGGAGGGGGTGTGGAAGACCCGCTCCCCGGGCGTCTCGGATGCGGTGGGACTCGACGACGCGTCTGGGAGTCCTGCCGCGCAGGGGGTGTCCGTTCACTCACCAAGGCCAGCAGCCCGCGAGCCTCGGGCGCGGACAGCCGCAGCCGCCGCCGCCGCCGCCGGGGCCCCGACTGAGCACCAAGCCGCGAGGCGGGAGGCAACTAGTAGCAGGCGCGTCACGTGGGCGGGCGGCGCATGCGCACTCGCGCTGCTGCCTGCCGCCACAGCCGCGGCCCCCCAAGCTGACTGTGGCCCCACCTCCCTGTGAGGGTCGCGGGGCTCCGGCTCCTGGGCGGGAGCGACCGTCTCGCCTCGGATGGCTCCTCTGTTCGGCTGCAGCGCCTCCCAACAGCTGCGGCTACAGCCTGACGCTTGCGCAGATAACTCCCCGCGGAGGTGGCCCAGAGGCCCAAGGGATCCCGGTGGACCTGGGCAGACGACCCCACGGCAAGTGAGGGACACACACATGCCCCCCCCCAGTCCACCCCAGAGCAAGGACTCAGTCCTGGGCCTCGCTTCCCGCAGCCCGAGCCCTCGGCAGCACAGAGGGAGGAGAGGGGCGCTCGGGCTCCTGCGGGGGGAGTGCGCAGGGGTCGGCTTTGCACCGGCAAGCTGGCCCGCCGCAAAGCGACTTAGTTACCATGGCTCCGTGGTGAAGAGAGTCCGTCACTGACAACTATGTTCCCTTTCCACAGACTGTCCGAGGCCACGGGGAAAATGGTGGAAAACTCACCATCGCCATTGCCAGAAAGAGCGATTTATGGCTTTGTACTTTTCTTAAGCTCTCAGTTTGGCTTCAGTAAGTACTCTCCCGGGAGGGCCGTTTTCTGTGTCCAAGGACCAGAAAATAATGCATTTGTTCTTAGAATGTGCAAACGTGAGCTGTTGGTTTGCCCTGCTCACATCTCTTTTTAAGAAACCCTGAAAAGAAACCATGTTTGCTGGAAGGCTGTGCATGCCAGCACTAGCCTAAGACGTTTACTCTGATTTAGCACCCGGCCCCATGGCAAAGTGCATAAAACCTAGTGTTGCCTTTAAGGGGTCGTAGTCTTCTGGATGAGGGTAAATCTAGTTATGTTGATCAAACTGTGAAGTCAGCTTTATCCCACAAACTGGCCGTGGACCTTACATTACAGAATAATTAGGAGAGAAGACAGGGAAATCCTTGAAAGAAGACAGAGAAGATTTGAAGTCATCTGTTTGCTCCAAGGAGCAGGAGCTGAGGAGGGAAGAGAACTGGGCTAGAGAAGTCCGGTTGAAAGATGTGTACCTTTCACATCCAGAATCTCCATCTCCATGGTGCCTCATTTACACATGAGGAAACTGAGGTGCACTGAGGGATTCTCATGCTCAGAATCACACAGCAGACCTCGTGTGTGTGTGTGTGTGTGTGTGTGTGTGTGTGTGTGTGTGTGTTCCCACCGTGCGCCAAAAGGGTTTGGAAACTATAGAGCGATCTGTCAGCCTATCCAGGTGTGGAGGCTCATGCCTGTAATCCCCGCACTCCAGGAGGCTGAGACAGGGGGACTGCTGAGAGTTCAAGGCCAGCCTGGCCTACAAAATGAGTTGAAGGCCAGCCTGAACTGCATAGTGAGACCTTGTCTCAAAAAGACAACAAAACAAAACAAATCAGTCTGAGGAGCTTTGCCTAGTGGAGTCTGGGGAAACTGTAACTGAGTTCAAATTCTGAGTCCTCCACCATTAGTGAATGTTTGACTTGGGACCATTTGCTTCTTTGAGCCCTCAGTTTTTTCATCTGTAAAAGGGTACTGATAACAATGTTTACTGATTATACATACATAAACCACAACCCTGTAAGATAGGTACTGTTACTGTCAGTTTAAAGATAACAATCCTGAGGTTTAAGCAACTTGCCCAGGGTCACAGAGCTAATAAATGACAGAGCTAGAATTTGAACCCAGATACACCAATTTCACTTTGTTTCCTCTTCTGCTGTATTAACTAGAGCAATTTATGTAAACGTAAAGGATAAGTAATACATGTTGGCTGCTGTTATTACCAGTTTTGTAAATTCCTACTCAAAGAATATTTGAAGGAGTAGAAACAATATAAATGAAACAATGACCATAAAGCTTGATCTCTGTGATACCACAGCTGAAATTCAAGGTCTTGAGTGCTTGCCACATGCCAGGCACTGTGACAGGCCGTGGAGGGGTAAGCTAGAAATTTTCTGCTTCAGAGAATTTCCGCTCTACTAAGAGGAATGAGCCAATGGACACGTTAAATAAGTAAAATGTATACAGTGTCAGATGATAATACATACTATGGGCAGAGATTATGCAAGGGGAAGGAAAGAAAAAAGTTCAAGTGTGTTCTTGTGTCATTTATTGTCATTCACTAGTACATATCACAGTATAGTGAAAAGACCACTTTACCTGTCCCTGGTTCACCACAAAAACTTTTATTTCTTTTTTGAGACAGGGTCTCCCTATGTAGTCCAGGCTGGCCTTGAACTCAGACTGATCCTCCTGCCCCCTCACCTCCTGAGTGCTGGGACTACAAGCCTGTGCCAACATACCCTGCTCACCACTAGATTTTAAATTCAGAGATGGCAGAAGCCATCTGCTCTTCAGGGTTCAAAATTTATCATTATTGATGCAAGTAATCTGAAATTTGTTCCTATCACCTTCCTTGGCCAGAAAATACAACCCAAGATTCTGTTTATTCACCTGTAAAAACTGCGAACTACCTCAGGATTGGTTTGAGAACCAAATGAGATATAATGTGTGTAGAATGGAGCTTGTTCCTCAGTGAACACCAGTGCTTAGCTACTGTTATTAGCAGGGGACAACCAGAAAGACTGTGACCAAGATTTGGGATTGGAGAATAGAAGAGTGCACATGGGGAGAGAAGACAGAGTCTTCTTCACCCTTGGTGACCAGAACTGGGGTAAATTCCTCTCTAAGCAACTAAGCATCCGTAATGACTTCCGCCTGGGGGAGTTGTAGGATGCAGTACCTCTAGGATACATCCAGCAAACTGCTGAGTGCTGTAAGAACCACAGTTACTTAAGGTATGACTTGTGCCCTTGACTTGCTTACAGTATAGTGTGGGAGTTTAGATGTTAAAAATGACTGACAGTACAGTAATTACGATAAGTCCTATCAGAATGATACAGATGAGGAGCTAGCAAACTGAACAGGAAAAATCATTTCTGAGGGAATCAGGGACACCGGAAGTCTTTTTGGTTTTTTGTCACATACAAGCCAGATTGGACTGAACATACATGTTACTGACTTCACTTTTGTTTTCTTTCTACAGTACTTTATCTTGTGTGGGCTTTTATTCCTGAATCTTGGCTACACTCCTTAGGCTTAACCTATTGGCCTCAAAAGTAAGTTTAAATTTCTTAAATGAGTAAAATTAATGCTGTTTTAAAGGATCATATTCCTTCTTAAGATAACTCTTACGTAGCTTTCCTTAAAGTCTATGAATAGCCATACAGAAATTCAAAGCTTTTTAAAGCTTATTATTAATACACCTGTCATGAAAGATGGTGGGTAAACACGCATTTCTATCTCCCTTTCTTCACTAAACCTTGCTAAACTGACCATGGGAAGGTGGTGGGAGGTTAAGGTGTAAGTCCACAGAAATAAAGGACAGCATATGAGAGGCATCAACAAAGTGCTGAGAATTGGATGGAGATAAGGAGATTTAAGAAGATTTCTGCATTTTCCTCACTGCTAGCATAACCACGCCATCTGCCATCAAGTATACTTGTACCCTGAACCCCACAATGGCTTAGATGTTGGGCAGAAAACACTTGAAGAACATAAGGCCCGCAGACCTCTCTTCGTTAGCCCTTGCACCTGAAAGACCAACCCTGCCCTTCCCTGCAGAAAACATTTTCCACCTGTGGAAAGGTTGGGGACCTCTCCAGCTGAGTCCACTGGTCTGAGTTTGGACTTATTCGTTGGACTGATGAATAAGATGGCCTTCCCCCCAGGAGCCTCGCTGGCTTATGCTACCCCCTCCTGTCAGAAAAAGTTGGGAGGGAACTGACCAGCGTAAATGAAAAGGATCTGTAACTTCTAACACTAGGACGACCCCAGTAAAGTAGTCAGGTGTCCTAGCTGAAGTCGTGCCAGGTGTCTCTGCCTGTCCACATGCACAGGTTGCTTCTACTTAGCATGGACCCATCAGCATAAATTGCCAGACACTGAAAGAAAACCTCTAATGTGAAATACAAAAATAAAAGGAGAGCTTAGAGAAAATGGAGAAAATGCCAGGTCAGAAGAAAACTTTTTAAATTGCTTGAATCTTCCAAAAGATAGAAAAAGATTATAAGTATGAAACAAACAGTATGCCAAAGGTATTATTTAAGAAATTCTTGTATTTGAAAATTATGACAGCTAAAATAGGAAATTATTAAAGGGAAAAGCACCCAATAAAACATGCCTAGATAGAGCACTTATATACTTAGCTGTATTGTGACACATGTCAGAGAACTGGAGTCTGAAGTCTTAATAGACATATAGGAAACCAAACAAATACACAAAAAGATGTAATTACTAGTTCCAGAAATATAATTAGTAATTGCACACACAAAAATATACACTAACACTGGGCATGGTGGCTCACACCTATAATCTCAGCACTTGGGAGGCTAAGGCAGGAGGATCGCCATGAGTTCGAGGACAGGCCACTCTGAACTACAAAGCAAGACCCTATCTCAAAACAAACAAACAGGGCTGGGGATTTAGCTCAGTTGCATAAGTGCCTGCATAACAAGTGCGAGGTTGTGAGTTCGATCCATGGTACCACAAAACAAAACAAAAACACCTAAGTTTCTCAACTGCACAGTATTTTTTTAAAACACTAATATAACCTCAGTTTGTGACCTAATTATAGCAAAGGACAGAAGGTGATCCTTTTCGCCATCTCAGGAAGTCTAGAGAAAATGTCTGAAATTGAAAAAAAAATTAAAAAAATAGCAATATGAGCATATTGGACAGGATGAGAAGCAGAAGCAGCAGCTCAGCTACTGGGAATGAGACAGCAGGGCAGGATGGATGGAAGACTGCTGTAGCTTTTCATTAGAACACTTGTAGACTATTTGACTAACTTTAACAACAAGTTTTAATACTATATTTTGTGACTGTTGAGAATTACCACTTTTTAAGATGTCTATTATAGAGCCGGGCGCCTTGGTGCACAGCTGTAATCCCAGCACTTGGGAGGCTGAGGCAGAAGCATCGCACAAGTTCAGAACCAGTCTGGGCTGTGTAATGAGCTCAAGGCCAGCCCGGACTGCATAGCAAAACCCTGTCTCAACACCCCCTAAAGATGTCTGTTATCTACATTATCATCTGTTATCCCTTTCGCAGATACTGGGCAGTGGCATTGCCTGTGTACCTCCTTATTACCATAGCAATGGGTTATGTGCTCTTATTTGGAATTAATATGATGAGCACCTCTCCACTCGACTCCATTCATACAATCACAGGTAAATTTATGTAAAAGTGTGGGGGTGAACAAATGGGATATTAGCAGTTTTATCAGAAAAGCAATCCAAAATAGGCTGCAAGACACGTGTTGGGACAAAGGATGTGTCTTCCTGTTTCCTATTATCGATCTTTTGTCCTTTACATTTTGGGTTTCTCACACAAGAGAAACCGTGTGATGGTTAATCCCGTGTGTCTCATTCGACTCAACATTGTGGCTTCAGAAGCCATCCGTTTCCCTACATGTGACTCAAGTTTACCCATCTTTGTGGCAGACTAGTACTCTGCTGTACATAAATAAAGATCACACTTTATCCATGTATCTGCTGATGGACATACAAGCCACTGCCAAGATGCAGCTGTCAGGAATTGTGCTGCTATAATCAGGGTGTTCCTGTGTCCCTATAATACCAGGTCTTTAGCAATGAAAAGGACCTACTGGAAATTAATACTGCATACAGAGTGGCACAAAAAGACATACATGGAGGAAATAAGTTAGCACGAATGTATACTAGTTCTATTCATGCAAGAAATCGACACTAAATTTAGGACTAGTTAGCAGGTGTATCTCCCCACAGAAACTGCAAGTATACAAAGTGTGTGCCTTAGCAACTTTGCTTGAAACAAACTTCTTTATCGCAGACAATCACTGTGAACACGGGATGGCAAACAGGCTCGAGCAGACCTTGTTCACGGAGACTAAGGGGGATGTGCACCCCTTGGGATGGCTGTGGATGCCGGGTCCCCAGGAAGTGGGGTACAAGAGCCACAGCATGTTTATGGTTTTTTGGTTTTAAGTCTAAAAGTAGACAGATTCCTGAGCTTTCTTAGATTGCATGAAGCGAAATATTTTTTTCATTTCCCTTATATGACTTTACTTTTCCAAACCTTTAGATGTGATTGTATACAATGTTTTAAAAATCAATTATAGTAGTTTTAATTTATTACCTGACACCTACTATATTCCCAGCATGCTCAACTTGAATTACAGCAAATAGGAAATTTATGCAAAGTGAGGAAATTGTTAAGTTTTCCAAAATATTTACACCAAAAGATCTGTTTTTCAGGGTTGATACAAACGCATCTTCAAGGCCTGTCTATAACATTATCCCTATGAAAAACATGAAGTAAGACGTTAGTAATCATTGTACAGCTGGAGGAAATACTAATTTTTTTCCAAGTTAGAGATGAGTACTTTGCTGATTGCTTTTTTATTTGAATTGGGATATTTCTTCTAAAGAGATTTTAAATAATCATTTAACTACATTAAATACGGAATTTGTCATTACCCAGACATTAGCCTGGTAAATTATGTGATGAATCTTCATTAGCCATAGACTGACAGAAGAAGCTGCTCGGGTAAACACAGCTTCTGCTCTTTTCTTACAGATAACTATGCTGAAAATCAACAGCAGAAGAAATATCAAGAAGAGTCCATCCCAGCATTAAGGGACATTCCTATTAGTGAAGTAAATCAGATGTTTTTTCTTGCAAACAAAGAACTTTCCACCAAAAAATGAGTTGTATGTAAACATACCAACACCAAGCATTTATTCCTAACTTTTTGACAGAATAATTTTGACCATAATTATACTATCACTTTATTAATACCTAGTATTAAGGTATAAAAAAATAGAAGTTGATCTTCTATTAAATACAGTTCAATGAAATATTTTAAATGTTTTCAATTGTGAGTTACTAAAGAACAGAATAAATAAAACACTGCATTACCCTAGAGCAGACTGAAGAAATCACACTGGTAAAATCAAGAAGCCCCAAGCCAAGCTGAGTGGCACAGACCTGTATTCAAAGCTGCTCATGGGGCTGAGGCAGGAGGATAGTGTTAGGACCTGTGCCTACATGTGCCCCTAAAGCCTCATATGGACATAGGTAGGACTTTTCAGCGGTGCTGGCTCTAGAGTGTGCATGACACTAGGACTGATTCATGGTCCAATGTTAGGATTAAGGGTGTGAGTGCTACCTGCCTGTCTTGGGTACTTTTCTCTCCTTGCTGAGACAAAATATCTGACATCCAAAATTAAGAAAAGGTTTATTTAGCTCAAAGTTTGTGGAGCTTTTAGTCCATAAGCAGCTCTAAGGCAGTATGGCATGGCACTGGGTCAACACTTCAAGGCAGTAAAAGCAGGAGCAAAAGGAGAGATACGGCCACCCTGGGCTACCTACATGAGTTCAAAGCCAGCCTGCACGAATAGTGAGACTGCCTCCAAAAAAAAAAAAAAAGCTGAGGGAGAACGAGCTTCTCCTCCTCCAGTATATTTATGTATGATTCACCCATGTGTGTAGCACTCACACCACCTCCATACCCTCCTCTTAAAAGCTGAGGAGTTTACAAAGGATCCTGGCTCCCTGCTGAGTCCCTTAAACTTCTAAACTCCTCAAGTTGACATAGTGTATCAACCATTACAATCCATCATTTGTCAACCTGGCAACCAGACACATTTCTTTAAACCACTTTCCAGATACAAAGACAGGCATATTCTTATCATTTTACAACTTATAACTTGTAACACAGATTTAACAATCCTTAAGAGCTGCGTTAAGTCTATCAACATTATATCACCTTAGAACCATATTAGAGGAGACAGTAGTACAACGGGGTTGTGGCTGGTATTAGAACTACCTGCTATGGGGCTGGGGATTTAGCTCAGTGGCATAAGCGCCTGCCTTGCAAGCAGGCAGTCATGAGTTTGATGCCCGGTACCGATAAAAAGGAAAAGAAAAAAAAAGTAAAAAAAAAAAAAAAAAAAAGAACTACCTGCTACCACTACCCATTCTGAATTCTCTTGGCCTTCAGCAAGCGAGCGCAGGACTTGGTTCTTTCCCCTGTGAAGTGACCCACGCCTGCCTTCCCGAAAGCTCTGGGCCATTTGTCATTCTGCCTATATTAGGTTGTTGTGACTTTAATAACAGGGCATGGGAATACGAAGAGGTGCCCTAAGGTATCTCCTGCATTCCACATACATCCTTCCTTTCCTCCACTGTGTAATAATCCATTTCCCCTTGATAGTCAGGGTCAATCACCCCTGACTCCCTGTTTAGCTTGTTTTCTCAGTGGCATGAGGAGACCAAAATGACCACGGGGAAGTCTTAGCTTCCAGTTCAATGGTTTCATTGTTGTGGCATGGCACAAGCCTCCCGCTTTCTGGAACCAAAGCTTCTAAGCCAGCAGAACATAAGGTTGTGGGGACAGGAAGTAAAATTTTGCTAGTGGATGGCTAGCGGGTAATGGGAAATGGTACCATTCCTACTTCCACCCCTTGATTCCCAACCATGAATCCTGGCTATGAGAGAGACAGTACCGTATAGTAGAGGCTGATTCAAAGCATATACAGCCTTTTGAAGTACCTTACCCCAGCCCTGCAAACTGTTGCCACCTGGCTGGCACCTTAGCTGTGCCTTCAAAAGACCAGTCCACCTTTCTGTCAATCCAGCCACTGCTAGACGGTGAGCAACATGGTAAGATTAGTGAATTCCATGAGCATGAACCATTGCTTCATTCCTTTGGCTGCCCTGAAATTTCTTCTTCCAGAGTAATTAGTCCACTGCCCTTAATCTTAGTCTCAGGCAAAGTCTCTGGACATAAGCAAAATACAGACAAACTTTTTGCCAAAACATAACACACATCACCTGGAGTCCAGCACCCAATACAGTTGTTCTTGCGAGCAGAAACCTCTCAAGCCTGGTCTTTACTGGCAGGATTTCTATCAACTTTCTGGTCTTCTGGATATCTGACCAGAATCTCCTGTACAGCATTCCAGCCCTATTCTTTCAGGCAACATCTCTGAACCTTTCCAAACTCTACCCACAAGCCATTTCCAAAGGCTCTTGCACCACATGGTCAGGTACAGTCACAGCAACAGCCCTCCTCTCAGTACCAAATTCTGTCTTGGTTACTTTTCTCTCATTGCTGACACAAAATACCTGACACCCAAAGTTAAAGGAGGAAAGGTTTATTTAGCTCATAGTTTGTAGACGTTTCAGTCCATAATCAGCTGGCTCCAAGGCAGGGTGGCATGGCACAGGGCAACACTTCAAGGCAGCAAAAGCAGCCAAAACAGAAAGGGGAGAACAAGCCTCTTCTCCTCCCTATGCACACACTATCATCCACCCAGGGTGCGGGTATCACTCATCACCTCCACACCCTCCTCTGGCACAAGCTGAGGATGTTAAGAAAGTAAGGATCCTAGCTCCCTGCTGAGTCCCGTAAACTTCTAAACTTCTCAAGCTGACACAATGTATCAACCCTTATACCACCCTAAGGGTCCTGGCTGAGACCTAGAAGGTAGAAAGAGCCTTGTGGCTGGTTTGCTTTTGCCTTACTCAAAGGGCCATGAACTGCTTCTCCTCTGCCATGCTGCCCTGCCTTGGCGCCAGCTAACTATTGACTGAAACCTCTGCAAACCGTGAGCCAAATGAAGCTTTACTCCTTTAACTTAGGTGTCAGGTATGTTATCTCAGCACCAGAAAAGTAACCACAACAGAAAGTTCAAGGGCAGCTGGTGCAAGTTAGCAAGAACCTCTCTCTAAATAAAAAGGGCTGGTGTGGAGGCCACTGGCCCAGCATCACAAAGCTCTGGATTGAATCCCCAGCAGTGCAAAACAACAACAAAAAAAACCACAGCCTCTTCAGAGAGGGATTTATGGTGTTGTCTGCAAAGAGCTATTGTTTTTCTCTTCTTTGGCCTGAGGAACCTGGAATTCCAAACCTGCATTTTTTGACAGAATAATTTTGGTAAAAAGGGTAGATTTAATATTTGTGCCATCTGATTCATGTTTGAGACACAAATATTTGTGACTGTGTACTGTGGACCAGGTGTTTTTCTAGCCACTGAGATGGAGCAGTGGTAGGATTTTTCTCTTGTACTTCAGAGGGAGACTAAGTGAACACACAAACACGTACATATGCTGAGTGCTACACGGAGGATTAAAGTAGGGTATATTCCAGAAAGTAAAGGGGTGACTTTATTTCTTTTTGATTTTTAAAATTTATTTTAAAGAGGATAAAACTGAATAAAACCAATCAAAACAAACCAGTATAAGAGACACAGGCCTAAAAACATTACAAAATCAACAATAATGCCTCCTGATGTCCTCAAAACGGCTGCAGATAACTTTGGACATAGTAAAAATCAAACAGAAGAGAATAGAAACAATAAAAACAAAATAGTGAATGCAACAAAGGACTCCAAAACAAGCTTATAGTAAATCCAAAATTTCTACCATGTCTTATCTTTGAAATAGCTGCTCCTGCCATCAGAACTGACATAATCAAACGAAAGAGAATAAAACCCAACCCAACAAAACAATGGAAACAATATAGGGCTTCTAAAACAAGACCATAGTGAGTCAACAATGGCTGCAACCCTCAGAAGAGGTGACTTCAGAAAGTAGGTGATCTGAATCCACTTTCCAGAGCCCCTCCTGTCCTTCTGAGACCAAAGCTTTCTTTCAATAAATTTCTCCTACTGTTAACCTCTGTGGTTCCTAGAATTCACCCCTCAATTTTAGAGAACACAAACTCAGTGTTTTACATGTCTAGCAGGTTGGAAGTTTCATTGCCCTATGTCACTTGAGGACTTCCATCGAGATAACTGGACAGAGACCTGTATGTCTGCTCAGGAATACTGGGCACCAACTGAGGGTTTCAGAGAGGCCCTCTGTGGGGTATCTCTCACCGCCCATCACAACTCCAACCCTCTCCAGCGGGACGTAGCCAGGTCGGTCTTCACCCTTGGGCCCCTCATGGCAGTCAATGAAACTTCTTAGAGGAGGCTACTGTAGATAGCTAAATGAGGTAGAAATATTACAGGCCGTCAGACAGAGCTGAGCTCTTGAGAGGTCCATACAGAAGACAACTGTGGCTGCAGGTGCTTTTACTGAAGGCCAGGCTTCAAGAAAAAGAACTGCTCACCATATTCTCCCCTACATAGTTATTCTATGTGGGCATCAATCATTGTAGGTCCAGGACCAAACCTCATTCCCCGCTCCCAGGAGTCTCTGCCTGCCCACATATGCTTGCTATGTAACTTGGCTTCGCCCAATAAACGCCTTTGAGAGGCAGGGTCAATGGGATCTCTCTGTCCGTCTGAGACAGAAGCTTGCTTTCTCTCAATAAATCCTTCCCACTCTCAGAAAGTAAATAAACTGGGTGGTCAAAGGCCTCCCAGAAGGAGGTAACTGGGTTGAGAGCCAAACACTAAATAAAAATCAGTCATGTAAAGACTGGCGGGGCACAGTGAGGTGCTGAGTTTGAAGCAGGGAGGACAACAACAGTAAAGTGAGGAGTTCGGTGTGCTTCATGATGGAGAAGTCAGCAGTGATCGGGGACTGGTGTGAAGTGACCTTGGTGACACCAGACTGGGTACTGACGGTGTGCAAAGTTCACATGTAAATGTGCTGCATGTGCCCAAGGCTAGCCAGGGCCTTGAGGAAAGCAGTGACGTGATCTGATGTGTTTCAAAATCACTCTCAGGGCCAGGAATTTAGCTCAGCGACCTAAGTGCCTACCTTGCAAGTGTGTGGTCATGAGTTTGACCCCTAGTACCAAAAAAACAAACAAAAGTCACTCTGGTGGCTAAAGGATGGCAGGGTTGGGGAAGGAAGGAAGGGGACCTTGAGGAGTCTGTTGCACTCGTCCTGGCAAGAAGTGGTCACAGCCTGGAGCCAGCAGCAACAGGGGGAGGCTGGAGCACTGTGTGGTCTGCAAGATGCTACCCACCAGCCTGCAGCTGACTGAGGGATGCAAGGCTGCATGCCCCGGGTGTCTTAGCTCAGAATCTGGGTGGACTGCTGCGCCTCTGACTGGACTGGACATCGTTTACAGAAGTGTGGTCAAGGCTGCTGGAAGATTTGACCAATGGATTAGTTACTACCTTATTAATATCTGGACGCATCTTGTGTAAAGTAAAAAAAACGTAGATAGAAAAAAAGTATTTAACATTTAAATACACTCACAGTGAGTTAGTGAGACCAAAGTAAATTTATTCAGGAATCAGGGCCCCTAACATTTGGTACTCTAAATCTCTGTACTAGTCTGGTCTTTTCAAGATATGTATAGTACACATGCATACAGTACTTACACAAAGGACTCAGTCACATTTTATTTTACTTTCTTATTTTATTGGAGTTTCTAAAATTTTTAAATTTTTAAAAAAAAATTATTTTATTGGTATTTTTAGATATATACAACAATCACATTCATCATAGAGAATTTTACCTGTATGTGATATAACTTTATTTTTCCCCATTCCCATACCCTCCCTTGAACCTTTCCTACCTTCTCCTTTTACAAAGTTTTGTTCCCATGTTTTCCTGCCTCACTCACATTTTACCTCATGCAAATTTCCCTATAGCTTCTGCAGAAGAAAGATAATCATCTTAAACAGGAAAACGAGGACTTCATCTCAACGAGGGTGTCTTTCTGCAGCAAGCATGCATGGATGACAGAAATCTGCTGTTCCTGCTGCCACATCTGTCTGGTTCCTGTATTTTATCATCGCACCATGGCACCATACTCCAGGCAGTTTGAGTCACTCAACTCTCTCAAGCATAGAGAAGTATAAATAAATAGTGTGTTACAACAAATACTACAAAGCCACGTACACAAAAATAAACTACTACTTGATATAATTACCTAGATGAATGTCACAATGTTAAGCAAAAAGTCATGAGAGCTACTTGCTGTAGTAAGTCTATTTACTTAAGGGTTAGAGCAGGAAAAAAAGGTATGGTGATAAATATCAGAACAGAGCTCACCTGGGGGGAAGAGGCAGGCAGGAGCCCATAGGGGAGCTAGAACTGTCCTACATCTCGGTCTGGGTTACCTCGTAAAATACATGTTTTAAGGAAATCAGAGTTCTATGTATCGTTAAGATTTGTGCTCTTACAAGGTGGGGGCCCACACTCTAGCATTCTCAGCCCCTGGGAGGCTGATGTAGGAGGACGGTGAACTCCAGGCCATTCTGGCCTACACAGCAAGTTCAAAGTCAGCCTGGTCTTAACATAGCAAGACCTTGTCTCAAAAACAAACAAACAAAAAAGATTTGTATTCTTCATGTAAATTACACCTCAATAAAAAGGGAAAAGCCAGTCGCTAATTCTACAAATTTTAATCTATTAGTCTCGGAGGATCCAAGGAAGGGTAGTTTTACCAGATACTCCTAACACGCACCCAGTGTTGGGAATGATTGGCTCACCTGCTTGGACCTAAGTAAGCCTGTGGTCAAGCAGATCAGTGAGAGACTGGCCACTTTGAGGAAGAAGCCAGAAACTGTTAAAGCTGTCCTTTTCCCATTATATGAAAGTATCTCCTCGACTTCCCTTAGGACCAGAGATAGGCCTAGGAAGGCTTTGAAATGGATCTGAATGGAAATTAAATTCTCATATAATGGCACATTTCAACCTTGACTCTCCATTCTGGGTCCTAGTCACAGTGTCTTTCTAGCTCATACATCAGGGCTACAGTCCTTTGAGGCTCATGATCAGTTCAGTGCTGTGGTTCTCCAATGTGTGCATGTGTGTGTGTGTGTGTGCACGTTACAAACTCAGGGCAGCATTTTACTCAAAAGGAGACTCAAAGAGCTCTTCTGTACAGATTAATTTCAGAAGTTAGAAATTCCCCATTTTGCTATTTTTGTTTTTTGAGACAGGATCTTACTATACACTGGCCTTGAACTTGCAATCCTCCTGCCTCAGCCTCCTGAATACTAGGATTAAAGGCATGTGTCACTGCTTCCACTTGTCATTTTTCTGTATGTGTATGTGTGTGTGTGTACCAGGGACCAAACTCAAACTCGTGCTTGCCGGGCAGGCACTTATGCTGCTGAACTAAAGCACTGGCCTGTAATTTTTTTTTATAAAAAAGTCAGTTACTTGGGGCTGGGGATTTAGCTCAGCGGCATAAGCGCCTGCCTTGCAAGCAGGCAGTTGTGAGTTTGACTCCTGGTACCGATAAAAAGGAAAAAGACAATAAATAAATAAATAAATAAAATTTAAAAAGTCAATTATTTTTTGTTATAAAATTAATTTTTCTGGTCATCACACTCTCACCACAGAATAAGCAACAGGTTCTGCCCCATAACTTCTAACCTCAATTGCTATAATAAGCTGAATACAAAAAGATAATGGAGTTTAACATAAATTTTTTAAAAAAAGTGATTCAAACTCTTTGGACTCATATAACCACACATGTCCCATTAAGTTTTACCCTTTGGAAGGTGCATTCAAGGTTTTACCATTTCCCTGCTCCTCTCCTCCAGTTTTGGACTGAAACCACTGGAAAATCACAGCATTCAGGAATATGGGAGTGTGGGGCCCAAAATTTTGTTTTTCAATGATCTTTCAAATATCTCTCTTTATAATCAGTATGATTCACCAAGTCACCTTTTGAGCCTCTACCTCAGGGACACATGGGAATGTAAGGGATAAAATAGTAAGAAATCAGAATCCTGATGCTAAAAATTATTAAACATAAGTATATTTTTATGAAAATCAGCAGTATTTTCCAAAACAAAAGCAACTGTGAGACAAGTAATATTGTTTTACATTTTTGCAAAGTTCTTTAAGGTCTGGCTTAGTGGAAGACTTGAGTTTTAACACCTGCTTCTGCATTTACTCTGTTACACTTCTGCATACCCCAAAGTCTTTGGAAAACTCTATGACACATTAAAGACGAAAATAACAATTCATGTTCAGCATTATTTGAAAACTGTTGTGACCTCAAAGACCCCTTGAAATGGACCACTGGACCTAGACTTTCAGAACTACTGGTCAATGGGCTTCAATCAGAGAGTGTGTATGAACTAGATGGTATACGTGAACTACAGATTCTACTGCACTGGATAAGGGTACATATTTTGATCAGACAACTGTGTGACCACTTAGTCCATCTTGCCACCTCACTGCAGCTGGCGATGCCCAAACAGGTCTATGCATATTCTGACCAGATCTATGCAGGTACCACTCACATTGCATCCTAGTAGGGAGGGTAAACACCTGCAGGGCCAGCTAGACTCCAACATGGCCCCTTTCATCCTCAAGGAGAGGAAAGAGGAGGAGGGGACAGTTCTGAGCTCTGTTCAGTTAGCTCTTTAGGATGTCTTCAAAGTCTGAGCTGAGGCGGTTGCCATGGCAATGGAGTGCTGAGGCGGTTGCCATGGCAATGGAGAGCTGAGTCATACCTGTCTGCGCCAGCTTGTTTGTCTGGTGCTTTGCCACCCACTCCTGCTCCCTTCACTCACTGCCTACGCACCAACCTTCGTCAGAAGCTCTGCTTTCAGGCGAACTTCCGGCTGAGATATTTTTGTTATGTAAAGATTTGTACATCACTTAAGGGCCATGATGCATGTTTATGCTGCGTGTCTTCTTTTTGTTTAGTTTTGGTGACACTGAGGATTAAGCCCAGGACCTGCACACTGAGCTACATCCTTAATTTTTTGAGGCAGGGTCTTGCTATATTACTAAATTGCCCAGGCTGGGCTTCATACTTATGCCTTAACCTTTCAGAGTGCTGGGATTACAGGTGTGTGCCACAACACCTGGCTGCAAGTCCAAATGTAAAAGATTTGAAAGAAACTATATTCTGCAATGGGCCTGTTATGCTTCAGGTCTAGCATGTTCCACAGAAGGCCCATGTGTTCACACAGGTGGCTCTTGGAAGCTGTCTGGGTCGGGGGGGGGGGGCATTATACTCATCACTGATGAGGCTGCAGCCAATACACAGGTCAAGCTGCGGCACCTGGAACACTCAGGCATTGGTTTCACTCATTTGGGTTAATTGTGGCACCTACTTTTGGGAGCAGGGGGAATCTGCTTTCCCTTCCTTGTCTAGTCAAGATAACTAAGTACAACTTCAGAAGCTTGCTTTTCATAGAAAAGCCCTTTGAGATAGACCCAAATCTGAATAAGTCACATGGGTAAGGACAGTGGATGTCCTGATGACTACTTGTATGGTCCCATCACCAAGAACCAGGTATTTCCTGCCTCTGGACCTTGATACACATGAATTAAAAAATTAGCCCAGAGGCTAGAGATGCAATGGAAAACTCAGTTAGGGACCAAAGAAGTCCCTTAGAAGGATAGCCTTCCCCCTCATCACCACTCCCTGCTCCCCTCTACTAAGACCAAGACCACTAAGATTAAGAATAAAACATTAAGACTAAAGACTCTCCAGGACAAGATCCTCATTAGCTTAAGATCACCACTACCCTCTAAAGTGATCCGATAACCCCTTTCTCAATCAATAAATGCCAAGTTAGAGGCTGGGGATTTAGCTCAGCGGCATAAGCACCTGCCTTGTAAAGCAGGCAGTCGTGAGTTCGATCCCTGGTACCGATAAACAGGAAAAAGACCAAAAAAAAAAAAAAAAAAAAAAGCCAAGTTTCTGGCTGCCTTGTGGCCTTATGTTTCCTGTGAACAACTGGTCATCCCAGATAACCACTTTACCACCAAAAAAAGAAATTATGGCCTTAAAAAAAAAAGTCTCACAGAAAATACAATTACAATTCTTCAACAAATGTATTTGTAGAACTTTACTGTGTAATCAGTGGTACCTATTCAACAAGTGTATTTCCGAATTGCTTCCTTCAACTTCTAAACTTCTCAAGATAACACAATGCATGGACCACCTCAGTCCCTTTGGAGGTGGAGTGCAGCAGGGTAAAGAGCCCGAATCCTACCAGCCATCAGCCTGGACAGCATTCTTCTGCACTTCTTTTCACCTGTTACTTGGGTCATCCTATGACAGCCAACTAACCCTAACAAAGTGCCGTTCAGTCGACAGATTAGGAAAAATAAAGAAAACGGAACTTAAAAATTTTTTAATTCATGTATACTATATTGACAGAAATAGAGGATATATATATATATACATATATGTTCAAATGCGGATTTTCCCAGCTCTAGTAACTCTGGAAGGTCCAAGAATCTGTTTTTTCAATAACTCACTGAAAAATAACAGGATTAGGCTTCATCAGCAGCCATACCACCCTGAACGCACCCAATATTGTCTGATCTCGAAAGCTAAGCAGGACTGAACCTGGCTAGGACTTGGATGAGAGACTAACAAGACTATGCCATGAGCCAGGTGTTGACAGATCGTGCTTCTTCAAGCCTAAAACCTAAGTAAAGATGGTGTCTGGACTATAGATTTTCCTCTTATCTGCACAATAAGCTCCTCACTACCGTGCCCTGTTGACACATTTCCCTGCACATGCCCACATACACGCACATCAGCTTCTCCTGCAAAGGAAACCTTGACCCTACAGTCTGCATTGCCCCCAAGCCTGGGAAGGAAATGCACCACCTATTTTCCTTTGGTGAATCTATAGCAGGAAAGGAGATTCAAAATGCCAGGAAAGAACTAAGCAAACATCACTTGTCCCATTGTTCCTAACAAAGAACTAATAACTCCCTTTATTTAAAACAAAAAATCAATAGGCTTGACATGTTTATTCACAGATGCATCGTCATTGCTTCCTGCTTTGGATGTAATCAATAGTTTCAATGGCTACTAAATCAAATGAACAATAGTATGGAATTTTGTTTGAAAATCTGAACAAGTTTGGCATGTTTAGTCCCACCGTGCATAAATATAGCCTACAATGGCCAACTACCAAGAAGCAATGTCAGGAAAAACATGGGCAGTGACATCTTCCATCATACCTGTGTGCGCTATTTAGCAGACTACTGAGCCGTCTAAGAGACTGTTCATCTGGTAAAAAACAAAACCAAAAACACCTACCTGGCAGACCACTGGGAGGCATCAAGTATATACAATACTTAAACCATAAACAATGGTGACCACATAACAGGGCCCAGTCTTTCTGTTAGGGGAGCCGCTGCCTGGACCCTGTGCTTCAGCGCCTCCAATTCTTCCCCACCACTACATCCGTCCTGTGACTACTATAAACATTACCTCAAAGGGGGCAACTTACCGCCCAGAAATTTATTCTCGCAGAGTCCCGCAGGTTACGAGGCTGAGATGAGATCTCTGGGCATCAAGATGTCCGAAGGGCAGGGAACCCCGCGAAAGCGCCAGAGGTGGTCTTTGCTGTGTCACGCTTCTGCGGGTGCCATCTGCTCGCTGTAACCCCTTCACTCTGATGTCTACCACAGAGGATTCACAGCATTCTCCTCCTGAGGATCTCTATCAAACAACCCTTGGCTTCTCTTTGGCAAACTTGTTGCATTTAGGATTCATTTAGGTAAACCAGGCTCATTTTCCCAAGCTGAGATTCGTAACATACTCACATCTTCTAAGACCATTTTTCCTATAAATCAGCGGAGTCTAGCTCACCGGCCGAGTGCCGCATGCGGCAACAATAATGCAGATAGTAAGGCTGCCGTGCAAACTCACGGTTTTACCTCCGTAGCATTTTTAGCAATATGTCTTTGTGAAGATTGCGCAATCTTTCAACACCCACAGCTCTGCAGACTGGGGGAGGGGGCTCACCCGCTAGCTCCACCTCCTCCGTGCCTGCGCCCAGGCGCAGGTGCCCAATCCCCGCTAGGTAGTCCCTGGCTGCACAGTGAGCCTGCGCAGTGCGCCTGCGCAGCGTGCTGTCTCCACCGCAGCCATTGCTGCTAACAGAGTTTCAACCTACCTGGGTGAAGGTGTGCCTATGCCTGAGTCGGCATGTAAGTGTTCTCATTTCCATACTGAGCTACGTTCTGCTTGTTGGTATTTTGTAAAGCACTGGTGGTACAGGGAGGCGCTTCCCTCGCTTCCTTGGTCCTTGATTCTTTGTGCCCCTGATGAAAGAACACAGTTAAGGATGATGTAAGAATACAACTCCTGCTCTGTTAGGAGTCACATGGGCGAGTTAGGGGTCCCACACATGGAGGAACCAAGTTGCGAACCAAAGGAAGAAGTTAGGAGAGTTTTCTTGGAAATCCAGAGGAGTGTAACTCCCAATTCCGCACAGTGGCCCTCCAGGCCTTTGGGTCAGGGCTACTTTATCCAGCAACGGCGCAGTGTGCACGCTCGGAGGCGGAACTGCCTTCAGCCTGGGGATCCCGGGTTCCGCTCAGCTAATACTGACCAGCGGGAACCAGTCGCCCAGCAGGGATGCGGGGAAAGAAAAGGGCATTTTGGGGAAGGGATGGGAGTGTAGCTCTGCTCACCCACCCGGGTGACTGATGCCCGTCTGGACTCGCTGGACCACGTGGTGCTGACCACAGCATAGTCTCAAGCTACTACTTATCCCTGAAAGAGACACGTAGGTCCGACCACACCATCTTTACCCTCAGGCCTGAGGGTTCCCCTGCAGCCAGAGTTTTGGTATCCTTATTTTTGGACTAATTTCCCCAAGAGCTCAGTCCCTCTCTGTGTATTAATTTCTATCACATTTCTGTCACAGCCTATAATCAAGACACATAGGCTGCAGAAGTACAGGTAGAATTTACTGTGAAGTAAAAAAAAGATGTTCATCTTTAAGCGGAAAGCGGACAGTGTCACAAAACCTTCTGCACTGGCTGCAAACTTGGGTACATTTTCATTGCACCCAAGAGTTAACCCTTGGTGTTCTCAGAACTGGGGCAGTTGTCAGCTTTTTGTTTTTATGGAAAAAGTAAAACAGTTTCATAAGAAAAAATAGAACAACAGTTAATACATGAGACATCGTCATCTTTCAAGTCGTTGCTCAGGGTACAAAATATGGGCATAAAAACTTCTCCAATCGATATTAGCACAACCTTCCTTCTGAGTGATCTGAGAGACACTAATTATATAACTGACTTGCATTCTTTCCCCTTTTCACTACAGTCCTGGCCCCATTCACCCATCCTCGTTCCTTTTTCCTTCTGGACTTTTCCCTCCCATTTCACAGTATCTGTTGTCCATTTTACACCTTACTTTTTCAATGTCTCATACAAGGAAGACAGTAGGACGTTCACACATGAGTCTGATTTGTTTCACTTAGGAATGTGGTTTCAAGTTGTACCGACTTACCTATAAAAGTCTGAAGTTTATGATTCTGTATGGCAGAGTAGTACTCCATTGTGTAAAAGTACCATATCTTTTAATGCATTCCTCAGTTGATGGGCATTTGAGTTGTTTCAAGATTTAGTTATTAGAAATTGTGGAAGGCAAGGGACTTTTGTCTAAAACATATAAAGAATTAAAAAAAAAAAAAAACTCAGGCCCCCAAAATTCAAAGATCCGATCCAAAAATGGGCATCTGAGATGAATATGCACGTCTCAGATGAAGAAATACAAATGGCAAATAAATACATGAAAAAATATTCATCATCATTGGTCATTAGAGAAATGCAAATTAAAACCACACTGAGATTCCATCTCACTCCTGGAAGAATGGCCAGGATCAAGAAGACCAACGACAACAAATGCTGGACAGGCTGTGGGGAAAAAGGAACTCTCCTACACTGTTGGTGGGAGTGTAGACCCGTACAACCTTTGTGGAGGTCAGTCTGGAGATTTCTCAAATAGATGGGATTGGGAGTCTATTTGTTCCAGCTATTCCACTTCTAGGCATATTCCCAGAAGAACTGAGAGCATCATATCACAGTGATATATGTGCACCTATGTTTATAGCAGCACAATTTGTAATTGCCAGCTCTTGGAAACGACCCAAGTGTCCATCAACTGAGGATTGGATAAAAAAGTTGTGGTATTTCCATACAATGGAGTATTACTCAGCTATAAAGAAGGATCCCATTGAGATATTTGTCAATAAATGGGTGCAGCTTGGGACCACACTCATAAGTGAAATAAATCAATCTTGCATGTGTGAATACTGAATAGTTTCCCTAATGTAAATAATGCTTCAAAAATATATAAAAGTATGTGGTAATTATGATTCCCCATTATGTGGCCTTGAAGCCTTATAAAGTTTTCACTTATTAATTGGAATGGCTTTATTCTGGGCTGCTTGATATCATTGCCTGTGATGAAATGAACAGCTATTTTGAAGAAAATAAGTCATCATAATAGCTGGTGCTGATTTGCTATTCTTGTTTTGAAGCCCCACCAAAATATGGCTCTTCTGTCTCCATTGGTTTTATCATGATGTATCTTGCTGGATTTTATTATATGTGGTAGTATAAACAAAAATTGTTATAGGCAAAGAGATAATATAGAAACCATTGTTCGTTTCCGGTTAGCTGGTTCTAAATACCATACAATGCTTTCAGCCAATTGAATGGTTTTACACTGACTTGATATATTTGAAGCTATAGTATATGAAGTTATATTCAAATATTTCAAGGAAAAAGACCCTAAAGTAACTACTATTAAGTCGGGTTATTTGGTGGTGAAGCACTAGGTTGCTCAAACTGTCATGCTTTGACCTGTTTGTTATGTTGTTATGTCCTCTTTTATCTCAATCTCTCCCTTATTCGTTAAAGAAATCATTTAGTTGTTTTTTATGATTTTTTTAATGAAGGGGAAAAAGAAAAAAATTAGCAGGATATATTATAGTAACTTTTTTGATCTCCTACTAACTTGATTTGAAGTCCTGTAATACTCCCACTATCTTGTTTTGATTGATTAGACTCTGTTCCGTTCTGTAAGATGGTATCAAGTTTGAGGGTATAGGCAACTACTTTGAAGGCAATAAGATTCACTATGATGCCCATTCTGGTTTGACTAATATCTTCTTTGGAAGTCCTGTAATGCTTACAAGGTTGAGGTTTTATTGGTCTTGTTCTCTACTGTTTTGTTCAACTTTTGAATACCTAATGAGATAGACAATTCTTTTTAAGGAAGCAAGAGGCATTATGGTAACCATTGTTGATAACCTTGTACTCTGTTTTTACATCATGTGCTATGTCTATCCTTGGTTTTGACTGACAGCTTTGTTTTGCCATATTTGACTTTATTCTCTTCCAAAAAAAAAAAGTAATAAGAACTAAGGAGTAATAAACCCCAAAATGTGTAAATTGTGTTGCAAAAAAGAGAGGGAAAAAAAGTGCTCTAAAGGATACAACTGCAAGTGTTTTTAGGGGTGTTAAATAGATGACCATATTAATGTTTTTGGTTGGATCATTGAACACGAATATTTACAGTCTCACTGTTTGAATGTCCACTTTGTATACTTTCATACTGTGACTTGAGCAACCATAAGATGATAATGTATAATCTATTAACTGGTGATTTCTTACTTTTTTTTTTTTTTGTGGTTCTGTACTACTTGTAACCTTACACCGCTGTGTTTTGTTTTTTCTCTTTTTCCTTTTAAATAAAATTTAAAAAAAAAAAGATGTCTGAAGGACTGGCCACCCCTCGGATGCACCAGAAGGTGGTCCTTGCTGCCTAGGGCTTCTGGGGATGCCATCTGCTCACTGTAGCCCCATTACTCTGGTGTCTACCACAGTGGGTTCACGCGTTCTCCTCCTCAGCATCTATCCAACAACCCTTGGCCTATCTTCGGCAAGCAAACTTGTTGGATTTAGGATTCATTTGGGTAAACCAGGCTCACTTCCCCAAGCTGAGATTCGTAACATATATCTTCCAAGACCCCTTCTCCTTACAAACCAGAGGCGTCCAGCTTGCTGATAGTCTACTGCGTGAGGCAGTCATGAAGCTACCATGCAAAATCACGGTTTTAACTCCTTAGGCTTTTTAGCAGTCTGTCTTTGTGAAGAGTGCGCAATGTTTCAGCACCCACTGCTCCGCGGTCTTGGGGAGGGGGCTCGCCCGCTAGCTCCACCTCCTCCGTGCCTGTGACCAATCCCCGCTAGGTAGTCCCTGGCTGCACAGTGAGCCTGCGCAGTGCGCCTGCGCAGCGTGCTGTCTCCACCGCAGCCATTGCTGCTAACAGAGTTTCAACCTACCTGGGCGAAGGTGTGCCTATGCCTGAGTCGGCATGTAAGTGTTCTCATTTCCGTACTGAGCTACGTTCTGCTTGTTGGTATTTTGTAAAGCACTGGTGGTACAGGGAGGCGCTTCCCTCGCTTCCTTGGTCCTTGATTCTTTGTGCCCCTGATGAAAGAACACAGTTAACGATGATGTAAGAATACAACCCCTGCTTTGTTAGGAGTCACATGGGCGAGTTAGGGGTCCCACACATGGGGGAACCAAGTTGCGAACCAAAGGAAGAAGTTAGGAGAGTTTTCTTGGAAATCCAGAGGAGTGTAACTCCCAATTCCGCACAGTGGCCCTCCAGGCCTTTGGGTCAGGGCTACTTTATCCAGCAACCGGCGCAGTGTGCACGCTCGGAGGCGGAACTGCCTTCAGCCTGGGGATCCCGGGTTCCGCTCAGCTAATACTGACCAGCGGGAACCAGTCGCCCAGCAGGGATGCGGGGAAAGAAAAGGGCATTTTGGGGAAGGGATGGGAGTGTAGCTCTGCTCACCCACCCGGGTGACTGATGCCCGTCTGGACTCGCTGGACCACGTGGTGCTGACCACAGCATAGTCTCAAGCTACTACTTATCCCTGAAAGAGACACGTGGGTCCAACCACACCATCTTTACCCTCAGGC